AATCATATCAGTATCTGCAAGCTGTCTTCATAAAATTGGTAGTGCAGTTGGGATAACCATAATGATTTTCATAATATGAAACAAATTTTGCTTCTTTTGCTTTGAAATATGTAACAGTCTGAGATGATGTGGACATCTTAATGGGCTAGTTAAATATTAGTACAGGTGCATACCTATACTATATGCTGGGAAGAAAAGTTATTTGGTTATTAAAACATCAAGAGATGACAAACAATCAGTGTTAAATACGTTCCCAAATACATAATTTGGCCATATTCTTAAGCAATAACTACATACAACTACACATTTTTCAGTGCATTTGTATCATAAAGCAAAGATCTCTTGAATTACAGGAACACCTAGGTATACTTAACTGTATTACTTTATTTTTTTTATTGTATCTTCCTCTGCATATTGTACTTCATAGAGATAGTCAAACTGCTTCAGAAATATTTTCAGTATCTCAGGATTCACTGCCCAAAATTGTCATCTTCGCAAACACTAAACTTTTTAAGACTTTTTCTTAATTATGGCAGTAAAATTAAAGGAACAAGCCCACCATTAGAATTTGCAACCTAACCTGGAATTTTCTATCATTCACCATGTATACCCCTAATTAAGTTACCTTGTCCACCTTCAGATAGGGATGATGATAAAAATAAAGTTGAGTTGTTCTGAGAATTGTGAGACAAGGCATAAATAATGCTTATTCAGCAACTATTAGCTATGCATAATTTTAAAAATTTGGTATTGTAGAATACAATTATTCATGTGTACTAATTTCTATCTCCAACTATACTTCAAATTCAGTATGCACAATATATTCATATACTTCTTTTGAGTATTTCATAATCTGATAGACCAGATAATGTACAGTAGTGTAAAACTAATTTTTACTCCCCTAGAATCATATATATTTTTAAAACACCCAATATACCTTTTATGGCTTCTATCCAGATGTCCCCCCAAAACCTCATGTGCTCATAGGTATGGCTTTTCAGAGCTGTTTGTATCTAGGGTGTCTTACACTGGGATTATGGGTATGGTACTAAATTAGTCCACTCACTGAAATTAGCATAGTTCTAGGTATGGATAATAGGAAAGCCCATCCTGGGTGTGGGTGGCATCACTCAAAAGGCCAGAAAAGAAAGACTTGCTGCTTTGCTACTGCCGCCACCTTTTTTCCCTGCCATGGACTGTTTCTCCTTTGCCATGCCCCTCTGCCGTGCCATCCTGCCTCAGAGTCAGTGGATTATGCACTGAAACCTCTACAAACTGCTGCTGAAATAAACCATTCCTTCTTTAACTTGTGAACGTCCAGTATTTTGTCTCGGCAATGAGAAAAGTAATTAAGATACCGCCCAAAGAGGAATAACTTATGTCTTAATTGCAAAGATATTAATGCCCATTAAACTGTGTTACTAAGAGAGAGAAAGGTGCAAATCTCCAAAGTTGCTGAGCCCTGACAGGGTTGTAAGTAACCCTAGAATAAGGGAATGAAGCCCTTGAATGAGATTCAAGAGTGGGATGACTCTAATAACTCTTGGTAGTCTTTAAAGAATTGTGCTGAATTATGGACAATTAGACCCCATTCTGAACAGAATGTTATGTCACAGGCTTTACGTGAAGTTACAGAAATTGAGAAATATGAGGAGGTAATAGAGTAGAAGCAGCTCAAGAATCTGAGTTGGGTTTCAGTTATATCACAGAAGAGTAGCATTCACAGACAGAGCAAGACACAGACAGAAATAACTGAATATCAACACTTAAGAAAAATGAGTGCCCTGGCATCCACACTGAGTACTGTTCTGGTTTAGATCTAAAAGAACACCAAAAGTCTCATGTACTCAGAGGTGGGGCTTTCATAAGGCGATTGGGTCACAGGGACACTATAGTCAGCAGTGGATCAATCCATTGATGAATTTGTAGTCGTATGTGCTGTTGGAAGGTGACGCCCATTTAGAGGAGGTGGGTCAATGAAGGTATGCTTTTGGAGGGTGTCTTTCTCTTACTGTTCTCTGGCTCTCTGCCTTCCTGGCTACTATAAATTGAGCAGCTTTCTTTCCTCTGCCATTCCTTTTCACCCTGCCATTTCTGCCTTGGAGTCAGGTAACCATGGACTAAACCCTCTGAAACTGTAAACCAAAATAAACATTTTCTCTTTTAAGTTTTGCCTGTCAGATATTTGGTCCAGGAATGAAAAGCTGACAAATACATGTGTTTAAAAATATTTTAAGTGTGATAAATAATTTATATTATTTGAAACATATCTGCTTTATAGTAAAGATGCATGATTTTGTACCTCAACAGAGAATTACTATCAGAAATCTAGACTGAAAAATTTTTAAGACTGCTTAAATACGCCGTGTTGCTATTGTATCTAAATGATGCTAAAACATTTTTAAATATCTCAAAGATACAAAAAAGAGAGAAGAAATTAGCAGCTAGTAGCTAAAGGAGTGATTGCTCTTTAATATGAACAAAAATAATACTGTCATGGAGTTAAAAGATGTGTGTATGCAGATTAATTTAATTTTGAATCCACCATTGCCACTGAGAGTTACAGGATATTTTTAAGCCTGAATATGAAATTTTTTTTTGTTGTTGTTGTTGTTTTGAGACAGGGTCTCACTGTGTAGTTGAGATTGACCTGGAACTCACTATGTATCCCAGGCTGGTCTCGAACCCACAGCGATCCTCCTGCCTCAGTCTCCCAGTGCTGGGATTACAGGCGTGCACCACCACACCCAGCCTGAATATGAAATTTATCACATGACAGTTAGTTTGCTGAAATTCAAAAGGAAGAGAATTGAACAGGCCCCAAATGCAAAACAATAGATTTTGCTCTTTTTTCTTCAAGACACAAGAGATGTTTACTGCTATTGTCACTGACTTGAGTCAAGTTCTAAAGCAGGGATCTTCTCAGCAGCTACTTTAGAGAATCGTGAACATTGAAGATGCTTCACCTGAAGTCTAATTATCCAAGTTCTTCTGTGAACTCTACATTTAGCATAAGTAAAAGAGCAACAATGTATTGTAAACTGCCTAAGAGCTCAACTATGTATATATCTGAATCATCTAAGACTTTTATTTTTTTTGGTACCAGGGATCGAACTCAGGTCCTTGTGCTTGTGAGGCAGGTAGTGGCACCACTGAGCTAAATTCCCAGCTCATCTAAGACTTTTAAGGTGTTAAAGAGAATTCAGTGTGTGTGTGTGTGTGTGTGTGTGTGTGTGTGTGTGCATGTGCGCGTGTGCCCTGTATATATTAGTAAAAGGTTCTCTAATTTTAAAAAAGTTTAAATGCTACACTCTGGTATTTGTCTTACAGTTTTCCACATTTATAAAAGGAAGTTTATTATCAGTCCTACAGATCATGGAACTATCATCATATGGTCGTTGCACGTCTCAGACTCTTAGGAAACATCTGTTAATACCTCCAATGAGTTTGAGTAGGAGAGGTATAAATTAACAGGAAAAAGGGGACGAAAGTGAATAAAGAAACATTCTACTTGTCTACATACCATGATATCCATAAACTATTTAACTCTCTTGGTGTGACTGATTTTTTTGGTTACTTCAATTCTTATATTACTTTTGACCTATTACTCACATACAGGGATTGATCACAATAGTAAAAGACACATTGCCTTTAATCCTCCTCAAAATATAGTAATGTCCTGGTTCATGAATGCTTTGCTCTACAAACTGTGCAGTTCACAAAAAAAAAAGTGCCCCACAAACACCTCATCGGGGGACAAACATGACCACACAAACACAAATGCAGCCATCTTCCTCCAAACTATAAAACAAACTAAGTGCATAAACTAAGATAACACTGTAGCCAACCCCTCGTGTTAGATGCACTTAATGGTTCTAGCCATTTTCTGAAGCAGTCCTGGAAGTCTTCTAGATGCCTTTACAAGTTGTGATAAAAACACCGTGAATATTGCTATGAGTGCTACTCAAAGGAAAGACAAGCTTGAAAAGACGTGGTATGTCCTTATCCATCTTTTCCCCTAGATCAAACACTGTACATCTGGCTTTTCCCCAAAGTCAAGAGGACCATGAAGGATAAAATTTTTAATTCATGCAGAACATTGAGGCAGCCACAATGGCACAACTAAAGATGCTTACAAAAGAAGACTTTCAGAAATGCTTTGGAAAGTAGCAAGAATGGTGAGATACATGTGTTTGATTGGGGGATGGTATTTTGAGGAGGATTGCCAGCAGGATGTCTTTTGCAGTAATAATTTTTTAAAAAAATTTAAACATTTCTTATATTTGTTGATCCTATCTCATACATTTTTCTTCAGTTCCTTGTTTGCTAGTCTCCCAAATTCAACTATTTAATTAGGAAATTTCTAATCTTTATCAGGCAGTGAGAAGAGGTAAATAGCTAGTCAAATGGTCTCAAAACTTACAGAGAAACTTCTACTTTAAAAGAACCTATTTCAAATAAGTGTTCTGTTTCATTTTCATGTGTAAGCATAGCTTTCATTGCTGAAAACAATTTGTGAAGTACAAATCGTCTCTTCAAAGTTAAATCTGGGGCTTTATGAAAGAACTAGCCCCAGCTCCCCTATACTTGCTTATGTCCTTTCTCTTTTAAAATGGCCATAGTCTGCTTCTGGTGACCTAAAGGGCCAGATCTATAATGCCTGTCCTAGAGATAACCAGAAGTGGCACAGACTTGCTCAAGGTCACACAGATCATAAAAGGCAAAGCCAGACTTATTGTTTCTTCAGCCACCAACACAGTAGAAGTTTTGTTTACTTTTTTCTTTGGAAGATTGTTGAGGAACATCGCTTGACAACACACCATAATTCAGTTTCTGTGTTGTCACCTGAAAGTCTTTGAAACAATGTTTTACAACAAAACAGCAGGAAATCAAAGCTTTTAGAACCCACAGGGACCGAACAAGGGAGAAAGTTTTTCCCTTACACACTTACACATCCAATACTTCAGACAGAAGAACAGCATCCGTTCAAAGTCACTTACCCAAATCTGAAGCTTGATTCTCTTTTCATTTTTGAATACAGTTTTTACTTTGAAATCAATCCCAACTGTGCTGACGAATGCAGATGTAAAGGAGTCATCCGCATAACGGAACAGAAAAGATGTTTTCCCCACACTGCTATTGCCGATGATCAGCAATTTGAACATGTAGTCAAAATTCTGATCAGAAGAGTCTTTCTGGCCATACCTGGATTCTTGGGCAGAGGCCATCTGTAAAAATTTTAAAAAAAAGCAAACAGGTATGGATAAGTCTCCTACTCAATATGAAGCTAGCAGCACATTCATTATTTTCTTGCTACAAGCAAATGTCAGACACTCGGGAGGCAAGTGGAGAGTGTTTCCCAGTCCTCCTCTGATGCTGGTATCCATGGCAATAATTCCCTGCTGAAAGAGAGAAGGGCAAAACGTACAGCTCTTTCCAGCTGTGTTGGTGGTTGTCTCATCTCAGCATTCAGAGCCAATCAAAGACACCAAAGGAGGTATCTCTAAGTGTAACATGAAAAGCAAAGATGAGAGGAATTGGGCAGTTCAAGTGGGCTCTGAAACTTTGTAATCTCACTGATGGAGCCAACAAAGTGACCGAACAGCAGGGTGCCTCTTCTTAAATTATCTGAATTATTAGAGTCTCTCTTATTTCCTAGGGGAGTATACACAGAGCATATCTGTTTCATTTATTGACATCTTATCAAATCAACATCCTAACAAAAATGTAGTCTCTTTCAAATTAAAAATGATGTTCAGGCAATAAAAAATGGTTTTTATTAATTATAAACACTTTAGGTGGATAGTGATAGTTTTCTCATCTTTTTAATGATAATGTTAACATATATCAAGAATGATGTTTTATTACTTCTAACACTATTTGAATACATAGAAAATAGGTATTTAAAATGATAAATGTAAAAATGGAATTAAAGTGTTTGTAGGTGGGGAGGGGAGGAGGGGGTGAAGGGAGGGGGGGGACAAGGGGAAAAAATGAGAACCAAGACCTGGCATGTAAAAGTACAAGATCCCAGTAATGAATGCAACTGTACTGTCTACCTAGAATGTACCAATAAATTCAATTTAAAAAAAAGAAAACAAAATAAAATGATGAATTCCACTGAGTAATTACTGCATCTACTCAATATATTTTTCTGATGCTGTGTGTTCTTTGGCAATCATTGTGCTACCCAGTATGGTAGCCACTAGTTACATGTGCCTACTTAAATTATGTTAAAGTTAAATAAAATATGAAAACTTAGTTTTTCAGTCATATCAGCCACATTTCAAATGCACAATAGCCATGTGTGGCTAGTGACTACTCTATTGGATGGTTTAAATACAAAATATGGCATAATTACAGAAAGTTCTCTCGAACAATTCTAGGCTAAATGTTCTATTTTTTACTCCAATAAAGGCTGATTAACAATGCATCATTTCTTTTGAGTATGCTATGGGTTGGTATAGTTGCATGTGATGGAAACTTGGTTCCCAGTGTGACAGTTTTGAGGAGGTAGAAATCTTAAGAGGTAGGGCCTGACAGAAATTTATTAAGCTGGCTCACACCATTAGAGGGGATTAATCTTGTTATCAAAGGATCTGGGTTAGTTACCACAATAGTAATTGCTATAGAAAGTGTGAACATGACCCTTAAATCTCTCTGGCTTTCTGTGTTACCATGTGACTTCTTGTTCAGAAACATACTCCCACTGTGATGCCACTCACCATATTGCGACATGGCCCAAAGTCCACCCAGAGCTCAGCAGGCACCAGCACCAGGTTCTTAGATCTCCAGAACTGTGGGCTAAATAAACTTCTTTTCTTTTAGAATAGCTAACATTGGATATTTTTTAAACCAACAAAAAATATGGACTAATCAAGGGGAGGGGAGGGCAAAAAAAACCTCTACAGATGGTGAAAGGCTAGAAACAGTAAACAGTAGCTCATCTAAGATAGCATCACTTGCCTAAAATTAGAAAGTCAAGAGTCTCTCTATCTCTCTCTCTCTCTCTCTCTCTCTCTGTGTGTGTGTGTGTGTGTGTGTGTGTGTTTGATAGAGAGAAACAGAGGGAAAGAGAATACTTTAAGTGAGAAGAGAAAAAAGAAATAACACATTCTCCTACAAATATTTATTTCTTGCAAGAGAATGTAACTATGCACATAAGAATAAGAACAAAGGGAATATCTGTATACATCATGCAAGATAAGGGCAATAAAGATTCTGATTTAATCTCACATTTTCTTATTAAATGTAAGTTTAAGCTTTCCTTTGTTCAGTCCATTTAATCACATGGACATATTCAGAAATTCTAACAACTTGGAAGGAATGTTGATGACTGGACAAAACTTCCTTTAAAATAGGAAATCCTCACACACACACACACACACTCCAGCAGTGCAGAGCATATGCTAAGGTAAATAAATGTTCCCCAACACAAGCAGTCAGCCAAGGGCAAGTAGGGTTACAACTTTTGACCACGAATTTGAGCGGCAGTTTTACTCTAATGACTCAAGAAGCCCTGAAATCAAGTAATCATTTCATTTGACACTGCCATTCCCTACAGATATAGCCCCTTCACCAATTATTATCTTCTCTAGGAGATACTAAAGCAGGCCTTCAAATCACTTTCATGAAAAAGGAAGGCCACTTTGCATATTTTTTTCTTAGGAAACAGCCTAAATTCTGAGTTCTGCATCAAAAATGTTCAGCCACACTACAGCTAGAAATGAGTTTAAATTTGCTATGACTGCTCATTTACTCAGCCTATTAGATTACTACTATGTGGTGCATTCCATAGTTCTGTGATGGTATTCCAAAAGAGCCCTGTGTATCTCCAAGTTGCTGTCAAAGAAAACATGATGAAGGCTAATCTATTAATCCAGATCCTATTTCAAAATTAGACTGATTTCAGAACTGAAGGAATAGAGGAATCATTAATATATGTAATTTTGAATGAAACTGTGAGGATACAGATAGAGATAACTATACTCTTGCAGCAAAACCTGTAGTTAAAGGGCCACTATACTATGCTCTGTCTTGGCAGCAAAGAACATGATGACAGAACAAGAGAAAGTTTAAGAAGGGGGACCGGTGGATGTATGTATCCAGAAGAATTATCCTCAGGGCAGTTAACTAACTCACTTATTCTTGAAGATTGAATTTATTGTTTTTCACGAATTCACCATTTTTCACCAATTTATATCCCTAATAACATTCACAAAGGATCCAAAAATATGCATTGAGAATACATATGCATTTTGTAAAACTTTGTAAGAATGAAATAAATCCTGCCTCAGAAGACAGAGTGCCAGTCCTAATCTTGCTGAGAGCAGAAATGAATCAATTTGACAGAATATGGGCCTATAGACCATCACTATGCAAATCTGGTGCCATCTCTAAATAAGAAGTCATGCAAACATTCTTAGAAATTTTGTGGAAAAATATAGCTGAAATTTAAAAACATGAATAGAGTATGAAGTTACCTCTCAGAGAACAAATTATATTTTGTAAAAGATAAATGAAAGTGACTTCTCGAATAGCAATAATTTTGCATTTCGAAAACAAAGAATCATAGAGTTAGGAAGAAGCTTCATGGCAGTATAACATCCCACACTTCCCTTCATGCCACCTTATGGTCTTGCCTTTCATGGTACCTTAGGGTCTCGGGTTAATGTCCTAGCCTAGCCCTCCAACAGAGGGACAAGTGCTTCACAAATGCCATGAACTAGCCTGATTCATTGCTGAAAGTTTCCAGTTGTTGGACAGTTCTTTCTCACATTGCATTAAAATACACCTCCTGATCAGTGGAACAGATTGGAAGACACAAAAACAACTCCAGATGTACTCAGCTACCTCATCTTTGACAAAGGAGCTGACCATCCCCACTGGAGGAAGGATGGCCTCTTTAATAAATGGTGTTGGAAAAAATGGATCTCAACCTGCCAAAGATTAAAACTGGACCCTTATCTTTCACCATACACTAAAGCAAAATCCAAGTGGATTAAAGATCTAAATATTAAAACAGAAACATTAAAATTGCTGGAAGGTAAGTTAGGCAGAACTCTGGAAGACACTGGCATAGGAAAAGACTTTATGAACAAATCCTCAGTAGCACAGGAACTAGCAGAAAGAATAAAAAACCGGGATCTCATCTTATTAAAGAGCTTCTGCACTGCAAAAGAAACCATCAACAGAACTAAGAGACAACCTATAATGTAGGAAAAAATTTTTACCAGCTGCTCCTCAGACAAAGGACTACTATCTAGAATATATAAAGAACTCAAAACAATCAGCCCCTCCAAATATAAAGACCCAATTCAAAAATGGGCATCTGAAATGAACAGACATTTCTCAGACAAAGAAGTAAAAGTAGCAAGTATATATATGAAAAAATGTTCCACATCACTGGTCATTTGAGAGATGCAGATGAAAATAACACTGAGATTCCACCTCACCCCACAAAGAATGGCTGCTATCAAGAAATCACAATGAACAAATGTTGGCAGGGTTGTGGGGAGAAAGGAAACCTTCTCCATTATTGGTGGGAGTGCAGACTGGTGCAACCACTAGGGAAATCAATATGGAGATACCTCAAAGAGCTGGGACTAGAGGTTCCATTTGACCCAGCCATCCCTCTTCTGGGTATCTTTCCAAAAGAATTAAAAGAATCATACCAGAGTGATATATGCACACCCATGTTTATAGCGGCACAGTTTGTAATAGCTAAAACTTGGAAACAGCGCATTTGCCCATCAGTAGGAGACTGGATAAAGAAGATGTGGTTTTTCTATAAAATGGAATACTACTCAGCCATAAAGAAGGAGAAATTAGAATCATTCATAGGAAAATGGATACATTTTGAGGATATACTCCTAAGTGAAAAAAATAAGTCACACATGTGTAAATACCAAATAGTTTCTCTGGTGTGAACAAACTGTAATAGTACATAAGATCCTAATGAGATAGCTGACATTGTGAAATGGGAAGAAAAGGGCTAAAGGTGTAGGGAAAGTGGAAGGGTAGGGGAAAGGTAATAAGGGGAAAAATATGAGAAAATGAAAATAAAGTGTTTGTAAATGGGGAGGGAGGAAAGGGTGAAGGGAGGGCAGGGACAAGGGGAAAAATGAGAACCAAGACCACCTGTCATGTAAAGGTACAAGATCCCAATAATGAATGTAACTGTACTGTATACCTAAAATGTACCAATAAACTCAATAAAAGGAAAACA